CAGCTGGCCCACCTGTCCAACACAAGCTCCACCAGCAGTAACAGCTGGCCCACCTGTCCAACACAAGCTCCTCCTGCAGCAACAGTTCACCCACCTGTCCAACACAAGCTCCTCCAGTTTGTGCAGGTCACAGGCGATGTACTCCAGGGCCATGTCGGTGATGCGGGGGCACCAGGAGAGGTCCAGGCTGCGCAGCTTCCGCAAGTTCTCCGCCACCAGCTCCACCCCGTCATCGGTGATCTTGGAGCAACCGGACAGGCTGAGCGAGGTGAGGTTGGGCAGGCTGTGCACCATGTTGACCACGCCGTGGTTGGTGATTTCCCAGCAGGAGTGGAGCCGCAGGGTGTGCGTGGTGTAGCCCTGCTTGGCAGTGAAGTAGGCCATGGCAGTGTCGGTCACGTGGTAGGCCTGCAGGCTGAGCTCCGACAGGTTGGGCAGCAGCTGGGAGATGGCGGCGATGGCGTCGTCCGCCACGTTGATGCAGTCGCTGACGCTGAGCGAGGTGAGACGCGCGTTCAGGCTGGACCACAGCCCTGCCTCCGTGAAGTCATTGCAGCCTGAGAGCTCCAGGTGCACCAGGCCTTGCATCTGCTCCAGCATCACCTGCATGGGGACAGACACAGAGGGGCAAGGCAGACCCACTCAGTTATAAGGCATTGGCACATTACTGCTGCTTTTACCAACTGCTACTGGGATTTATGGAATATCTGCTCAAACGATAATCACTTGTGATTTAAAACCCAAATCATAAATGCAAAAGACTTATATGGTACTTTCAAAGGCTCAGATTGAGGACACAGAGGGTGGTGAGGGTAGAGGGAGTCTTGGAGTGCCACTGTGAAGCTGCTCCTTCTGTTCTGGAGGAGAAATGAGGTACATCTCGCTCTCGGTGGACCCTGTGATGGATTCTCGTACCGCTCGTGCTACCAACAATCAGACAAGCCAGAGCCTCTGGGAGGAAACACACCTGTTTCCTCAAGCTGTTTCTAAATGCATTTCCCATCCTCACCTCCGTGTCTCAAGCAGCAAAGACACCAGCACTCGGTCCTCCAAACCTTCATGTTTAAGTCAATTCTTTTGAAAAAGTAATTACTGCCTGTGGAACACACTGAAGTAAGAAGCATTGAAGGCTATGCTTGTCATGGCACAATTTTTTATCTACTACAAACACATGAGCTAATCTCTTATCAGTATGCTACACCAATATGAGTACAACCAAGATTGAGTTATTTTAGTTATATCTACAGTCTTTTTACATACATCACGTATAAGAAAAATTGCACACTGTACACCTCTTGGTTGGATATTCATACTTCTAACAAGCTGTACCCCTGGAGAACAGTGCAGTAGTTTTTAAACTAAACATCTCTTTGAGAAGACTTCCTTCCTCGCTTCTTGATATTTGGTATTCATCAAGTAAAATAGATGCAGGTGAACGGAGACAGCCAGGTGTGAGGAGAGATGCAGAGGTGTGAAGGCAGGGTGGGTTCGAGCCCCACTGAGCCCTTCGCTTCTGCATCGACTTGACAAACCTAAAGCAGGCAGTACTGGGCATGAAGCAAACGGACTGCTGTGGGCTGGGGACATGCATCAATGGATGGGTCTGATTGTCACCCTGACAAAAGCTTTGAGGAGCTCCAGTACCCTGTGGGCTATCACCTGCTTCCCCCCTGAAGGACCTGAGGAGAGCCAAAAGACTCCCAGCCTTCACTGGGTCATAGGATACAGTTTCTATACTTAACTGGGTGGGGACTGCTTAGCCCCAGTAATATTGATAGAGTAATGTTCAATACATTTCTTTCAAAACGTGGTTTTTCTGTCCCTGAACAGCAGGAATCGAGATTGCAATGTCTAAATAGGACTGAATTTAAGGAAAAAGATGTACAACTTATCTTTCATTTCAGAATGACAGCATTCAGAGATGGCTTTTCCTTGGAGTAGCAAAAAAAAATCATTGCTTGAAAGCAAAATCTTTCATTAGCAGGAAATTGAAAAAAAAAACATCTAAAAAAGACTCCTGTTTATCTTTGTGCTCTTAAATAGGAAGCTGGGGCACGATTAGCCTCAGTCATAATGATGTTTTCAGCATAGATGCGAGGGGATTGTTTTAATCCTAATTAAAAAGCTAGCCTGCAGCAAATTCTGTATCTGCAATTCCCTGTGCCCATTACACGCCTGTATATATTTAGAAATAGCATTCCAGCAAAAATCTACACTACCTAGGATTAAAATAGTCACTGATAAAAATATGTGAAATAGATTTTCACTGAACGGCTTCTATTCAATTCAATGAACTGCTTTTTAATTTGAAAGAAAAAGGTTAGCCTTTCCAAAGTTGCACAAAGGCTGATTAAACGTACAGTTGGCATTTCAGCTGTCAGTTAACTTTAATATTAAAGTTAAACAATGCTCACATCATTGTGTTACAGGTATTTAGTACTTCATGCCTCTCAAACAGCCCAGAGGTCTGTCAGTAAAGGGACCGAGGTGAATATATTATTTCTAGGACACTTCCAAGATCTTACTGAAATCCTTTGGTTCCAGCTTCCAAGGCTCACAAAGAGAAGAAACAACCCTGACTGTCGATGAGGTAAACGACACACTCGTGATCTCATTTGACTCCCATATGGCTGATGACAAATTACACACCTAACCTCTGCACTCCAGGTTTGCTACTAAGGAGAAGAATGCTGAATATATCGTGTTCACTAAAAACAATTATAACTAACATGAAATCAATCAATGGAACAGTTGCTGCCTTGGACTTTTCTAGGCCCGGCTTGGCCGTTTGTTTCCTTATCCTGTGATCGAGTGCTCTCTCCATTGGATACCCAAGCCAGCCATTCCTGGTGCGACAGCAGGAGCTCAGAAAAGTTACCTTTTGCAGGAATATGACACACAGCAGACACAAGCCAACAATCTTTCGGCTCGGTATTAGCTATCTGCTGGACAGGAGGAGCGCTGCAGCACAGCCACTCTGCTAGGACGCCTGAGAGAACAACCAGTTTTTGACAGCCAGTTTTTGATGTGGAGGAGTTCCAGGACCCTGTGGGGTCTCACCTGCTCCCCCCTCCCCTGCACAACCTCAGCAGAGCCAGAAGACACCCAGCCTTCCCTGGATCCCAGACTCCAGTCTCTGTTCTTAACTGTGCAAACTCTTATGTTTCAGGGCTATGTTTCAAAAAGCCGATAAAATGAACAAGAACAGGACTTGAGTTCTGGCAATATCACTGAATTCAAAGGACTGTCAAAGAGATAGGCAATAGCAATCCATTTTAACGTAGCAGAAAAAAAGATTCAGAATTGCATGGGTATATACAGCACATGCACGTATAGATACAGTATATTAATTGACTATGGCACTGGTAAGTCTTCTTTATATCTGTGTTGACTTCAAGCATGACCAGATTGACAGCAAATGAAACTGAATGCTACTCAAATGCTGACAGAACTCCTCCCTAATGATTGCATCTGTGGTCTCAGCTGGCTCTCCGTGGCACCTTCCAATCATCCCTATTTACTGAAACACAAGCCACAGCCAAAACTGCAGAAGGGAACGCAAAGCACCTTCGGAGTATTTCTCACTTTACTGAGCAAGACAAGCCGTCAGATGTGGGGAAGTGGTGCCACGGTTGGACGCTGAAACTTGTGTTAACGAGCAGGGAAAGGGCGCCTCTACAGATAAAACTGCAATCGATTTAAAAAAATACAGAAACAAGAAGGAAGGGAGAAGGTTTGATATTGATCTGTCAAAAAATCTCTCAGACATGCATGGAAAAACAACTCAATTAAAGACTAAACCCTCAGACTCTTTCAGGGGGAACTCAAAAATATGTGGAAAAATATGAGTCTTTCCACACAGACTATTATTTCAGTACCTCCAGTTCTTGCAACCATATGTTCCCTTGAAGCTATCGCAGTACCGAATTCTCAAACCAAATCGTTCTCAAACTAGAAAATACATTCTGCTCCATTATTTGCATGGTAAAAAGGAAGCTGTAATTCTTGTTATTTTAAATCTTCAGCTTCCCGATAGAAACTCTTCCAACCAGGTAAACGATAGCAAATCCCTCTGAATGGAAAAAACAATGCCACAGTGGTTGAACCTGTAATCGGTGCTGGCACCTGAGTGTTCACTGGTACAAGTGCTTGCTCCAAGCCCTAGCTAGCTATGGGTGTCGTACCCGACTCAAGGCTGCCAGCGGTAGGGATGTGATTCGTGGATAAGAACTCTCACAGGATAATAATGAAAATAATAATAATAATAATAATAATAATAATAATAATAATAATAATAATAATATAGGGCTTTTCTGGACACTCCACTCAAAGTGCTTCACAGGTAATGGGGATCCCCTCCACCACCACCAGTGTGCAGCCCCACCTGGATGATGTGACAACAGCCATAGTGCACCAGTACACTCCCCACTCACCAGCCATCAGTGGGGGACAGCAGAGTGATGAAACCAGTTCAGAGATGTGGATAATTAGGAGGACATGATTGGTAAGGACCATGGGAAATTTGGCCAGTATGCCGGGGTTACACCCCTACTCTTTTCAAGAAACGCCCTGGGATTTTTAATGACCACGCAGCACCAGGATCTCGGTTTTACGTCTCATCTGAAGGACGGCACCTTTTTATGGTACAGTGTCTCGTCACTATACTGTGGCATTAGGACCCACGTAGACCGCAGGGTGAGCACCCATGCTGGTCCCACTAACACCTCATCCTCAGCTTTCCCAGGAGGTCTCCCATCCAGGTACTGACCAGGCTCACACCTGCTGAGCTCCAGTGGGCTGCCAGTTGTGAGCTCCAGGTTAATATAGCTGCTGGCAGAACCCCCTATGACCCTTCTGCATGCCCGCAGGCTTGAAGTGACATCAGTGAGGGGCACGCTGCTCCTCAGACCAGCACTGCTCCTCTTCTAAGTCAGTGAGGAAGTCCAAGCTGATGAGGACATGAATGAGCCACTGGACAGGAGCACAGGAACTCAGGCAAAACCAGCAAGTCCAAACAGCGTGGGTACACAGCAAGAAATAATTTTCATTTTTTTCTAAAAAGAACAATAATTGATTAGAAGCCCTCACCTCCAGACCTGCATCTGTGATGGTGGACCTCTTGAGACTGACTGACTTGACGCCCTTCTTGGACAGAGGGTAGTTGTCGATGAACTCACAAATGTCCAGGTCGGAGACACCCACCAGGCAGAAAGACTGGAAGCCCCTCAGGGCAAAGGCCTGCAGGCTCACAAACTCCTTCTCCCCGTTGGGCAGGATGGTGTAGAGTTCCTTGGCGTGCAGGATGGGAGTCACGCCTTCCCAGAACTTGGGCTGGTACAGCACCTTTCTCCAGGTCTTGCACACCTGGGCCAAGACGCACTTCTCGGCTGTGGTGAAGTACCACAGCAGCCGGTTCAAGACCTTCTCGTCCAACACCAGCTGCCTCTCCAGGCAGGTCTTGGACAGTTTCCGCCGGGGGGGCTGGTCACAGGTGGGCGAGCCGCTGTCGGGGTCGGGGCTGAGCAGGGAGGCCGCGGTGGACAGCGGCTCCATGTGGTAGGGAAGGCTGGGCGGAGGCAGGATGGTGGGCACCGAGGAAGACTGGCACAGGCGGTTCTTGGCTGCAGGCGTCCCTTTGGTGATGCTGGCAGACCCCAGGCCATTGGGGGGGAGCTTGACCAAGCCGTTCCTCGGTACGCAGGGTGACTTGAGATCATTGGGAGTGGACATCTTCAGCATGGAGAGCTGCAGAGAGGGGAGAAAGTGCACAGGCAGAGTGGTCAGCTGACAGCATCTCCCAAAGGAGCCAAGGCGCCGCACACATCCTGCAAAACGTTTAAGATTCCAGATTAGAAACATCCAGAAACGGGAAATCAAACCCTCAGGTTTGGATGCCTCTTCCTGAGGAGCCTCCAGACCGAACGTGACAGGCCGGATGATTTCAGAGGACAGGGAGAGAGTGACGTCTGCTGTTCTGGCAGCACGCTATCCCAGCTCAAGCCGGCACCAAAATAAACCTGCCTATTTAAGGCCGGTCTGCGAAATAGGTGGATGTAAAGATAGAAAAAGTCCCACGTGTCAATCGTTCGCAAAATCACAATCCCATCTAAAATGGCCAAATCAATGTCACCATATGTGATTAAACTGTCAGCATTAGGGACTTGTGAAATGAAAGACAGGAGCCAGAGGGGGTGAGAGCTCCTGATACCAGGGAACACACCAGTCTTTGGGTGGCACTGCCAAGAGCTCTCTCTGATTGACAGACAGGCTGGCTAAAGCATCGTCGTGAGAATGACTTCTAATAGTCCGTCTTTACTGTCACACTGGCAGGCAAATGTTGTGAAGATATGAATATCAGGAGCTCAGAGTCCTGCAGCAATGCAAGGCCTGCATTACTGAGCACAGACTTTAATGATACAGTAAGTGGTCATATGGGAACATGCAGAACTGCTTCTTAATTTAGCTCTCATCCTATTTTAAACCACACGGCGTAGAGCACACAAAAGGAGGAGAATTCTGTGTTTTCATTTCCATGTTTCCTAGAGAATGTGTGCTTTTTTGTCTCTTAAAAGAAAAAGAAAAAAAAACATTTTGGATTTTAAAACAGAAGAAAGGGGCAGGAGGGTGTTTCCAGCTACACAAGTTGCGATGGGACAAACTGGCACATTGGCTTCACAAGCCTAAAGCCATGTTCCAAGAGGGCATCAGAGTGAGGGGAGACAGTCGGCCTGGACCAGCATTCCAGGCTGGGAGTCCTCCAGGAGAGCACAATGGACTCTGGGATAGCCCAAGAGGAAAGGGAATTCTGGGTAACATGAGCCGCAGAGATCCCCACTGTCCCGGTGCCAGTACCACAGTACCTTCCACTGATTGGGTCCACTTGGTGTAAGGACAATACTGCAGAGAGCCGAGTCCATCACTCATCTCTCATAGGAGGGCACAAGGACTGCACTTTCCAGGACCAAGTGGTAAAATACTGTACATTGGGGATACTTTTTTGTTATGATTGTATGTCTTTTTAATTTTTTTGGTATCACTCCAATTCAGCATCAATGCAAAGATGCGCACCTCTTTGTAAGAACTGTCTAATGTCACTATTCATCCTGCAAAGCAACGCAGCCACCTGCCCTGGGGCAAACACAGGTTCGAAAGTCTCCTCTGAAAGTCATTCACACACATGACTCGGGGATGTCATGGAAGTAACTTTGCTTGAACGTGTTGCGGGCGGAACCTTTGAGCTGGATGCTGAAGAATCATATATGGCTTGTATACAAAAAAGTAAAATCTCATTTTCATGACACTTTGCATGCCCCACATATGTGGTTAGCTGAAGTTAATGCAAAGCAGGTGCAGTTTACGGAAAAAAAAACAATTGTGAGCTTTGAAAATTAAACCAGGGTCCTTGTGCATTCCGCTGAATGCTTCTATAGCTTAAAAAAGAAAAGGTAATAAAGAAATGCGACTGTTTTATGCAGAGATTTATCTTAGAGAACACATACTGTACTGTATACTGTACCGAATAAAGAGACTCGCTATTACACTGATCTTCAGCACAAATTTCAATTGGGAGCTTCTCCCTCACCTTTCTGACTGTCCGCTAGGACCTGGTAGCTCATTTGTCGATAGTGTATCTTCTGGGGGGGGGATGATCGTAACAATCCATCTGCAATTATGTAACACAGAAGTTCTGCCTGGTTTAGGGATCGTGTGTATTTTCACATCCGCCTGCTCGCGGCGAAACAACGCTCGGTTCGCGCTACAAGCAAAAAAAAGACTAAAGGCAGATAGTTAACTGGACGCTTTAATTCAGCCTTTATTTGAAACATAAACGTATACACTTTTGCTCGGGGCGACGTTACGCGCACAATAATTACCCGATTTAAATGTCTTTCGCGTTGGTAAACGAAACACGCTTTACCTAATGGTCCCTTCTCCAGCCTCGAATTTAGCTGTACAGAGATGTACAGTATCTTCATGTTTAGAATAAAACAGCTAGCATAATTGGTGTTACATAATGCAGCTGAAGTACCGTTTAAACATTGTCCATTACAGCTCCAAATGCATTTTCAATACAAATGAAGGTGGGCACATGCACGCTGAACATCCACGTTTTATTCTTTTGGAAATGTCTTGCTAGATTGCTGTCTTAACCCGAGTTGCAATTCCTATCTATACATTAACCAACAGAGCGGAAAATGACATGAAATTCTGGAGTCTATCGAAGCCGCATTGGTACAGCATGTCATTATGATCAGAGAAAGCATACCCCCCCGGAAAACACAAACCTTAACCCATTCACAGCAAAACATCGACAGACGTGTCTCCATACTGTCGCTAAGACCTTCACCTTCATGACTTAGAGGTGTATTCGAATTAGGTCTGTCTTTGTTTTACCCTTTGTCACAGACCTCAAGTCCAAGCAGTACAGATGAGGTGATGTCCTGCACTCGCAGCGCCGAGATCAGCAGCTGCTTCTTCAAAATCAAGGCTCAGAGCAGCCATTCTGGGATTGATTGCAAGGCAAACTGTGGAAATTACACGAATCCCTTACCTTCACAATATCCCGCTTGTTTCCGGTGTCCGATGAGTTTTGTATCTTTTATCTCCTGCCTTTAGATCGATTCGAAATCGCCATGTTATAGGCGCCCATCGGGAATAGCGGGGATAATGTTATTCATCATGTTTCATCCAACGGGAGAGGCTGAAATCAAGCATAGCGGGGAAGAAAGTGCAAATAATTACAATGGATATCTCACTACATACACACACTGCCCGATTTCCAGCCTCTAAAATACATCCCCATCCAGCAGCAGCAGCATTCATTCCCGAAAAGGCTGCGAGCCGAACCCAACCCATTGACAACAGCCGAACACTGACCAGCCCACTCTTAAAGCTGCAGTATTCCCTTCCACCAAAACACGGCTTCCCGAAACCGAACCCGCCTGTGTTATTCTTGCATTGGTCCGTTATATTTTTCATTACCCATACTGACATGCTGACGGAAAAAAAAAACTCTCTGGAATCACAATAAATGAAATAACTGTTCAATTCCATGTTTATTCTCCTTCGAACGGGTTCTGAACGTTGGGCTATTTCAGTTCTTACGCAGCTCTGCTGACAAGTATTATATTCGCAGCATTTGCAAACTATCTTAATGATCATATGATCTGCTTCGTCCGCTTGTGATTTAAAATGACTGCCAGGCTTTTTGTACACATACATACATTTAACATCAAACTCCACGGGTCTCCCCTTCTGCATTTAGATTTAGAAACCAAAGAAAGGCAAATAACACCTTTTATCCTCTATTTCTCTAATTAAATAAGACAGAACCTCTAGCTTGTAGCCACAGACAAAATATCCAGTGCCACATTCAAACCTTACAGCTCTTGAAACCACAGACTCAAGAGGATGGCTCACTATAACCAGTGTACACTAGTGAAATACATCCTAGGCTAGAGAACCCCTTTAAGTCTGCTATCAAGGTGCAACAGAAGGCAAAGTTATGTATGGTTGCATTCCCCCTATTCACTTTATGATAACAGCAACAAAACTGTTCTTTAACTTTGCATCAGTTGAAGATGTACTCCTAAACAGTGGGAATGTGATTAAGAGGTTTACCTCCTATCCTACAGGAATCTCCCACCTGAAACTCCGAAGATATTTGTTCACTGTGAAACTTTGCTGTTGTTATTTCCTGAACCATTCTTGGTTCAAAAACTCATTACACTCTCCAGATCATGATGTTGTGCACGACACAATACCTCGGCAATGCCTGGTGTCATTTGGAAATTCATGCAGGCCTACGGAGAAGACATTCTGCATGTAGTAAACTAGTCATGGGCTCTTGATTTAAGCTCAGGAGGTGTTGTGAACTGAGACGCATTATTGGTAAAAGCAGTGTGTAATTACTGTACATGGCTGAATTTCCCATTAAAAAGTCAATCATTACATTGCCACACTCAAGTGAAAAGTGATTTTAAAAGGCAGGCTTGATATGCGTACAAGAAAAATCAGGACCACTTACCACCACTTACAAACTGAAGGTCTTAGGTTTAGCATGTAAAAATCTAACAATGAACAATATTGTGTCCTTATAAAACATTTTGGATCAGAAAGACACTTCCCACAATCCATAATCTAGACTTTTGTACAGTACATATATACAGCTTATAATGTTCAGATAATGCAGATATAGATACAACACATGGAATATTGCCACCAGAAACTTGTCCAAAAGCTATTCAAAACAATCAATTCCAGCGACAACACTTTGCTTGAAATCCCATTGTTTCTACCCCTGCAGAAAACATTTATATTCATCCCACTGTCCCAGAATGTTCTGTGTGACAATGAGCAGAGACCTCTGTGTGGGAATTTGCAGTGGAGCACAAATATCAGAATGTCCACACAAGCTCGCCTGCTCACAGCACTATGTATGCCACACTTCGCTGTCCCTGAAGGAGTGAAAAAATTCAATACCAGGCTAAGCCTAAGAAATAAAAGAAATGTCAAATTTAAACACTATTAAACACGCTATTTTCACATGAGCCTCCTTGAGGCAAAATGTTCTCGTAAAGTATGCACTATTTACTTTTCAAGGGGCCTGCAGGATCCAGTATAAAAACATTACAGTCTTAGGGGTTACTTGACAATTAAATTAATAATATTTATGGAATACTACACTGTCACACTGGCAGGCAAAGTCTGGTGTGTGTCTATTTTTTGCACCCTGACATAATACAGTACATAAGCACCAATATTTTTTGTGGATAGATTTCAAAAAGATCCTGGACAATGCAATTGGGATGAATTGTGCATCTGTATATGAGACCACAAATATAGCACAATGGCATGAGGCCATGTCATACGAAAGATATGTGTTTGAGTGCTTTCCTTGGAAACCCTGAGCATCAGGCTTCAAAAAGCAACTCTGCAGAGGATAATACTGAGGTCTTGTACTGTTTCCACAGTGTGCTGTACACCCTTAAGGCTTCCAGGCAGGTGTACGGGCTCTCTGTATCTTAGACACAAGAACAGACGTCAGTGTGGGCATCTTGCATCTCTTGTATTTAACTGAATCAGCTCTCTGGAGAGCCGACTGCTACTCGGTGAAAATGACATATAATGAACTCCAAACATAGAGACACCCGAGCTCACGATACCTGAGAAGGCAAATTGCATTTGTGTTCATCTGCTTTTGTCACATTTGTATCCGTGAAAGGAATATGCGTTCATGCAAACGTTTGCAGTGCTAAAATGGCATTATGCTTTGCACCAATTCAGGGGAGCGTGCTCTCGAAGGTTACTAGGATCAATCAATCAATCAATCAATCAAGCAATCGTGGTTTAATTATCAATGCACGAGCAGTACAGCATACAGCGGGGTTGTCAGCAGTGAAATAATTTGTCCGCGAGCTTGTTAAGAGGGATAGAAGAGTTGAAGGACAGGAATTTATAGGGATTAGATTAACATTAGGATACAATAAATTACACAATTGCAATTTCCAATACAATTTACAGATTGTGCGACAGCAACACAAGGATAGGAGGTATTTGGCACTCTTTGTAGGTGTCCTGAGAGTGCAAGTGACAGGAGGGCGCCGGTGCACCTGTCAGTTCAAGGAGGTTGCCTATTCGCCAGCGGCCATTTGGGTAACTGCAGGCGTCTGTTGTGGTTGGCTGTTGAGCAGTCTTACTGCCCGGGGGAAGAAGCTGTTATGAAACCTGGTGGTCTTGGTGTGTATACCCCGGTACCGTTTTCCAGAAATTAAGGAAATTAGGAAATTTTGGACATTAACAAGTGAAGTCAAGTATGGGCAAAAAAAATTTAGGCTATATTGTGATGGAACAAATAGCCATCTGTTGCAGATACAGTGAATGGCAGATACAGTAAAAAAGTATCAGGACAAATTAAATTAACAGATTAAAAATGTCCACGATTTGAACATTTTCAGAACAGGCTTCAGCAAGAAAAACTACAAAGAGTATATGTGCTGCAATGTAGTTGCTTAAAACACTGCCGCTGTTTTAAGCTGGCAATGCGCACACAGCTGAGAGATGAAGGCTGTGCAGACACACTGGCTAGCCACTTAACAGCAGAGAAGGACCTCTCATCCTTTTACTGCTAACTTGTAAACTAAACACCATCAAACAACAGCTTTCAGGCCATCATTAATCTCAATTTGTGCAGAACAGCTCCAGCAGTGTGAGCAGGCCCAGAGTGAAATGCATATCATTGTTTTGTAACAATAAAACCCATGACACACTTTGTGTTTAGGATGGAGGTGTTAACTACAGAGGGCTCAAATGAGATTTGAAATGTAGTGTCGGAGGTTTACTCCATGTGAAATCATCATAACCAAAATGAATCATGACACCCCCCTCTCACCTAGAAGAAAAAACGCAATTCTGTTCCAGGCAATAAGAAAATTAACAGGTATTAGTTTAGAAGTTGGTGACAATCATTCTTTATCTTAGAGTAAATGTCAGGAACTACGCTTAAGAAATAGAAGCTTCGCAGGCAAAAAATATTGATAAAATGGAAAAGATTTATCTATGATGCCAAGTCATAAAATTAAGCAACAGACTGATTTTCTTGCCATGTTCATATAGCTTCTTCTGCACTGCAGATTGATTTTACAATATTGTTTTCCATTCAGTGGTGTCCAAAGGATACAGAAGATTGATATTGACTGTTTGTTGCCATTGTCATATCTTGTTTTGTTCGTAATTATAAAATCTGTTGGATTTGTGATGTTTGAAAGGTTACTCAAGTCTATATTTAGCAGCCTGCTGCAGCAGTGCAGAATCTAAAATCAGGAGCAGATAATGTGCACGTTACCTCAAATACAGAGCGTACTGTCTCTTACAGCAATTCTCTTTTGATTTTGTGATTGCAGACATTTTATTTCACTGCCACTTTCCTCTTATTTGAGAAGCCTTCCATGCTCCTTCATAGGGAACCAGATTTGCCCCTGTCTATTGTGAGATGCAGTGATAAGGCCTTGCCTGAGAACGTCAGCCTTTGCATACACCACAGTTACAACGGGATTCCTCTGAAATAGTCTTAGGCAAGATGCACATCTGAATAGCTACCTGGAGGATTTAATTCCTGGCATGGAAGCCAGCAGCCCCTGCACGCGTGATGCTTTGGTGGAATTTGGAGTAACCCACTGCAAACTGCACAGTCTCAAACTACTGCTGGGAGGAGCATAGCAAGTGTTTTGAAAACACACTTTGGACAGGTGAACAGCAGAGAACAGGAAAGGAAGGATTCAAACCTAACCTGTTCTAGATGCATGGTTCACCTGTTACATTTTGAGTATGATACACAAAAAAAAGGGGACATGGGGACTCCTTAACTTAATCTTGCAGATTGGTAGCAGAGCAGGTGCTGGGAGTACGGGTGAATCTCTAAGGGGCGGGGTCATCTCGTTTGGGCCAGCCACATTCTTCACATTCTCACCAGGAAATCACTGAGCTGGCTGCACCTGGAGTCTACCGCTCCCTATAAAAGCAGTTCCCGTGGCAGTCAGAGGCTGTCTTTTATGCAGACCCTCATGGTTGAGAAAAACTGTGAGCATTTTATGGAAGATATGGAGGCTGGGGGGGGGAGCCCTGTACAACTAATTGCAGAAAGATTATAGCTGGGTGATATTGGCAGCGGCCTTGGTCGTTCTCCGGGTCAGGACGCCGGTA